TTTTAAAATGCACAACAGAGCGATTTTCCCACCGTCAAAATCATTGTGACTTTTTTTTGCATTTTTTTCCTTTAATTACTAACCATTACCAGTACTCACCAGTGTTAAATAGTTACAAATCAAAGCCCACAAAAGGATGTCTGTCATAATAAACAAGTTATTAATGATACCTCCTGTGAGTTTCTTTAATCTGAGATCTTATTTGTTGAAAAAGTACTAGTTGATTCCCTATAACAGCTATCCAAACATCCATCTTCCAGCTGATATTTCAAATAAAATATATATACTAGCCTTGATTAGCAATATTAAGACAAATGGCATCTTAGCCTTAGATAGTTGTCACAGTGAGGCATTACTTTTCTAGAAATTAAAATTGGTTAACTTAACATTTGTGATGACTTGGAATAGTGGGCGCAATTTTCAGTGTACTCTTTCCATCAGGCTTGTCACAGTAGCATTTAACCGAGCGGTATCAAGGGGTTTTGGCAAAATTGGATACTTAGAATACTTCATTAGGGAAAATGCTCAAAGAAAGAATGTTGTAGTTTTTGGAGGCCAGGGAGTTCACCAAAATACTTCCCTCCACATGAGGTCAAAAGCAGAGATGCACGTGGTTCGTTGTGCAATGTTCAATTCCATTTCCAACTCCTCAGCTGTTCCACGCTGGTATGAAGCATGATCCAGCCAATATCTTGGTTTGTGTGGAAAGTAACAATCATACTACATCAACCATCTCCCTTGATATTATATGCTATTACCGTCACTAAGTCTCCCACTATTAATATCCTGCAAATTACCATGGACCAGAAACTGAACCATGTCAAGTATATAACTACTGTGGCTGTAACAGCATGCCAAGTGGTTGTGAATTCTGTGATATTCCCAAAGCCTGTCCACCATCTAGAAGGCACAGAGTTGGGATTGTGTTGGAAATCACACCACTTGCCTGATTGGGTGCAGCTCCAGCAAGAACCTGGTCACTACCCAAGACAAAACACTTAACTACCACCCCACCCACTTCCTCCAGCACCAATGCAATGCGGCAACAGTCACTACCATAGCAACTCATCAAGGATCTCTCAACAGAACCTTCTAATCTCACAATTTCTATGACCTGTGAGGCCAATGGTAGCAACCCTCCAAGCCACAGATCCGTACTCCTGTTTCTTCATTGTCGTTAGATCAAAATTCTGGAACTCCCTTCCGGCAGCATACCTACATCTCATGGACTGCAGCAGTTCAAGAAGGCAGTTCACCAACACCTTCTCAAAGGCAATTAGGGAGAGGAAATAAATGGTGGCCTAGCCAGCAACACTCATATCCCACGAAAAAAATAACAAAATAAATCAGGTATAATGTTATAAGATATTACAATTAGTGATCAAATATTTGGACAAATTAGTAGGTTTTCAAGAAGACTTAGAGGAGTAAAAAAGTGGAGATGGCCAGATTTTGGGAGGGAATTGTACATATTTATGTCTAATTGGCTGACAGCATGGCCATCAATAGTAGGCAATTGAAGCAAGGAATTTGCAACAGCCCAGAGATGGACAGACACAAAGATTGCAGAACAAAATAGGACTTAACAAGGTTATAGAGATAGAGAGCTTGAGGCCAAAGAAGTTTTGAAGAAGAAGATGAGATTTAAAACTGAGATGTTAGAGGGCTGAATGCCAGTGCAAGCCAGTGAACGCAGCCAACTGAGTGAGCAGAACTAGGTGCAGATTATGATCCAGGCAATAGGTCATTGGATGAGCTCAGCTTTACAGCTTTATGAAGAATGGGAGGCTATAGCACTGGATATATCAAGTCCAGAGTTAAAAAAAAGACATGGATGTGAGTTTCAGCAACAGATGAGCTGAGCTAGGGCAGAGACAGACAATGTTATGGAGGTGGAAGGAGATGGTCTTCGTGATTGAGAAGATTATGGCCCCAGACGCTTCACTCCATGTTAAGTTGAACACGTAGGTCGCAATTCATTGAGATTTTACCCGTTGAGAGGGATGGAATCAGAGGCAAGTGATTTGCTTTTGTGCTGGTGACCAAAGACAATGAATGAAGTCATCTTAGCAATTAACTGGAGGAAATTTCAGCTCATCCAGGATGGAATGTCAGACAAGCAAGCTGTGTAGGGCTGAAGGACAGTTTGCATTGCTGGTGAACATGTGGAAAGTGATGGTGTGGTTTTAGATTATGTTGTTTAGAAGCAGTGAGGTATCGGAGGAAGCCCAGGAGTTTCCAAAGGTGCACAGGGACAGGATGAGATTGCTTGATGGTTTCTACTGTCTATATCAAGAATATAATGATGAAGATATTTCCACACAGCAGGACGGCAGGGAAGAAGCTCTGAGAAAAGAATGGTGTGGAATGCTGCAGACAGCACAAGATGAGCATGGAAGAACAATACACGACAGAGTTAAAGTGGTCATTCATAACTTAAAAATTGCAACACCATATTTCAATTTCTGCAAGAAAGATGGTCACAGGTTTGAAGCTACTACACATTTAGGACCTGACAGCAAAGGGCAACATGAGATGGTTTAATAGTTCTCAAAGACAGAATGATCAAGGTTAGACCTGTTTGAAACAAGGATGAAGTTGGCTAATTCAAAAAACGCAGGGGCAGCATTTGAGGAGCGAACACAGTTTTAAAGAATGCAGCTAATATGGGTGTAATTTGGGTCTGCAATTTAATGGAAACGGGATAAGAGTATTGAGGTTAACTGCAATTTAATGGAAATAGGGGAAGAGTATTGAGGTCAAGATCAGCACTGAAACAGCAGGAGGGAAAAGAAGTTAGAAATTGCAGAGAGAGAAGCAGGCAAGAAGGAAGTCTGAATTGGTGAAAAAGGAGAAATATGGCAAATGCAGCTGAATAATTCAATCTTCAAGGCAAAGCTCCTCACATTTATCGTTGGAGATGTGAGTGGATGGAGACACAGAGTAAGGGAAGCAAGATCATTAATGGGTTACAGCACAAAAGAAGGTCATCATTGCTGAAAACTTTCTCATAAATATTTTCAGCAATCTCTACAAAGCTTTCAAACCCCTTCTAAAGGTGAGCGCTCAGAGTTGGACACAATATCTCAGAGGAGGGTGAACCAGAGTTTCATAAAGGTTCACCATAGCTTCTTTGCATTTGCATGCTATGCCTCTATTTATAAAGGCCAAGATCCTATATGTTTTACTAATCGTTTCCTCAAACTACCCTGCTACCTACAACGATTTGTGTGCATACAATGCCATCTTTCGCTGTTCCTGCACTCCTTTAGAATTGGATCTTTCAGTTTCAATTGCTTCTCCTCACTCTCACTAAAATGTGTGTTAACATTTGTCTACCATGTCCTCACAGTTCACTATATTTCTATGTTCTATCATTGCTAATTTCAAAATTCAGTTCTCGACAACCATGTTCAAAGTCATGAACAGATATGAAGAAAAACACATTACTGACGCCTGAGGAACACTACTGCATACCATCCTGTAGTTCAAAAGAATCTTCACCACTGCTCTTTTTTTGTCATCACTTTGAGAACTTCCAGGCTGTCACTGTCTCATTTAATCTATGGCTCAACTTTGCCAGCAACTTATTCTGTTGCACTTTATTAAACACCTGTTGAAAATTCTTTACGTTTACCTCAATCCTGACAATGGGTCAATGCCTGAAACAACAGTGTAAGGTCAGCAACAAAAACAAAGTTGATGGAAAAGCTCAGCAGGTCTGGCAGCATCTGTGAAGGAAAAAACAGAGTTAATGTTTCGGGTCCGGACCCTTCCTCAGAACCTGAGAACTAACCTGCTGAGCTTTTCCAGCAACTTTATTTTTGTTCCTGATTTACAGCATTTCTTTTGGGTTTTTTTATATAGTGTAAGGTCAGCAGTTTGGTTCTAAATTGAAAAGGAAACAGAGACATAATTAACTGGATTGTGATCGCTGCATTTTGTTGGGTCAGTGAAAATACATAAATTGAGTAAAAGCTTTGAGTGGAGATAGAAATGAAAATGATCTGGAACTTAGTATTTGTAAATGGATAATTATCGTTTAAGAGAAGGCTGAGAACAGGTCTGATAGAGGTACTGAAACTCATGAAGGGTCCTGACATAGTAAACTGGGAACAAAACTATTCCCACTGGTGGAAGATGTAAGGAGAATGGGAAAAGAAACAACAGAGACGTCAGCAGAAACATTTTAACAGCGAATAGTTAAGTTCAGGAATGCCCTACTTGAGATTGTGGAAGAGGCAGTTTTAATTGAATTGGGAGTGTGATTTGAAGAGGAAGGAGAAGGGGAGGAATGGCACCAGGTAAATTGCACATTTGGCGGGTAGGTACACGCACACGAAGGACCTAACGGCCTCCTTCTGAGCTATAGCCAATCTGTGACCCTGCGACTAGACTGATAGCAGCAGTTGTAAATACTGTCCCCTGACTAAGACCCGGCTTCAGTCAGTGACTGGGGCTGGCGGGGATTTCAAAAAACACTCCACAGACACTTCCTTACCTCTTTACCAGTAGCATCCTCACTGATCCCCAGCAACGAGTAGAGGTCTAACTGCAGGATTTCTTTAGCTGCCATCGTTCCTCACATTAAATGTGACCTAGCTCGACGCAGCAGATTCCGGCCTTTCCTTTCGCCCCGATTGCAAAATAAAGTCAGGCCTCGACATTCACCACCGGGCTCTCAACCCCGACCTCCAAAACACGTCAAGCCCTTCGGGCCGCGAAGCCTTCTGGGATTGTAGTTTCCGAGGCTCCACCTGTTCGCTCAGGCCCCTTGAAGTTTTGTCACAGAAAAGACTACAATTCCCTGCGTGCATCACGGCGCATGCACTGGCGGACACTTGGGATTGTAGTCCAGCTCGCCGCCACTGTGGGCGTTAATGTGGCTGCGATGCGCGCTGGGAACTGTAGTTCATGCGGCTCAAGCTCCCCGGGCACTCCGCACCTCTGCTGGAAAGAAAGGACTACAGCACCCGGCGGGCATTGGGGGACAGGTTTTTGGTTTCCGGTTGGTAGCCGTGGAGATGGAGAGTGAAGAACGAGTGACGGGATTTAACGTCGGAGGGTCGGTGTGAGTGTAATGTAAAAGTAGTCAGGTTATTGCTTTTCAGATTTGAGAGGTTAACAGCCCAGCAGGCCGAAGATGGCTGGAAGATGCTATGGCTGCGCGTCCAAGTTTACTCTCCTGAAAAAAGAGGCAAGTTCATGTTCCCCCCAAAACAGGCAGTTTGTTTGTGTGAAACTTTGCACCAACATCTCAGCAGTAATTCACACCTGCCAGTGAACATTCTCCGTCTACCTGTCATCAAATTCTACGTGAATCAAAATCCTACTATCTCTGCATCGTTGAATGTTCTTTTTCGGTTGGTAGAGCCCAAAGAATATTGTGTGATTAGACCATATTTATGTTTATTTGATAGGGTACTTTATCGTGGAAAATAATCACAGTGTATTACAGAGGTCTATCATGGTTGAAAATGCTCCAATATAATGATGCATGTTCTTGTTTAATTTGATCAAATGGAAATAAACGGTTTGCTTTCAAATTCTGTGCGCTAGAGTAAATCGTTGGGGATGGAAGTGGATGGGCATGTCTGCCGAGGTGGACGTGATTAAGTTTGGAATGTTCGAGACTAATAGTATTTGAACACTTGAGGCTACAGTTAGCAAAAACATAATTTCAGTTGGGTTGGGTATTCATCGAGGTGAAAGCCAATAGTTTTGATGAATCGCCTACCCTAAAGCTGGCCTGCAGTTTGAACGTTGTATAAGGATTTCTCAAGGCCTGGGTGACTGGCTGGAGAAGGGAACGAATACTGGTCAAGAGATATAGCATAGAATGGAAAACAATGTCTTTGATTTGCTTGAGATAAACAATCTTAAATCTTGAGAAGGGTTGAAATTTGTGCTTTATTTTGGTGATAACTATAACACTTGCAAAGATTACTGTTTATCTGTTAGTCTAGTCCTGAACCACAACCAGAAAATGGATGCTTCAACTCTACAGTTTATTGTTTTAGTTGTAGCAGTTGAGATTTTAAAGGGCGAATAAACATCCAGTATTTACTACTCCTCCCTACCTAGTTAGCTCTGTTAGAAAGTGCAAAAGACTAGACGTTAGCTGTGGGTGGGACTGGAATTGAGTGAATCATAGAATCCTAAAGGGATTGGGATCAGCTGTGTTGTTCTCCAAAATGCATCAGGTGGACCTGAGGAAATAAATTTCAAAATTTTTACTGTCCATGGATAAATCAAAATTTTAAAAAAGATGAATTTTTATTTATCTTGTATAGTATTTTCATAGAGTCTTAGAGGTTTATTGCATGGAAAGAGGCTCTTTGGCCCAACTTGGCCGTACCATCCAGATTTCACAATTAAACTATTCCCATTTGCCTGCATCTGGTCTATTTCCCACCTTACCTATACCATTCGTGTACCTGTCCCAATGTGAAATTGTACTTACTTCCACCATTACCTCTGGCAGCCTGTTCCAGACACTCACCACCCCCTGTGTGAAAAAATTGCCCCTCTGCACCTTTTTGTATCTCTCCCCTCTCATCTTAAACCTATGCCCTCTAGTTTTAGACTCCCCTGCCATGGGGAAAAGCTGTTGGCTATTTACCTTATCTATGCCTCTCATGATTTCATAAACATCTATAACGTCACCACTCAATCTCCTACGCTCCAGGGAAAAAAATCCCAGCCTATCCAGCCTTTCCCTCTGATTAATAACTTTCCTTTGTATGAGAGTTCTGAGGAAGGGCCACTGGCCCCGAAGCGTTAAATGTGATTTCTCTTCATAGTTGCTGCCAGACCTGAGCATTTGTAGCAATCTCTGTTTTCATTGCCATAGATATTCTTGGATAGAGCGATGCAAGTTGTTGCTGTGGGCTGCCCACTACTACCTATACAAAAGCTCTATCCAGATTGTTAGTACACCCAATACACCAAACTGGAAATTCATACCTTTTTATACGCATTACATGAAATGTCACCAGTTTGAAATTACCAAGCTTCTTCACTTCAGGAGCCCATAGAAAAACAATCATCATGATAACCTTCTGTCATCAAGTCTCTTCGTAAAAGTTAGACGACTGCGACCAGAATGTTATGAATGAATTTGTCGAGGTGTCCAATAATACCAAAGCAGTCAAATCAATACGTACACAAGCTGATACCAATGCAAAGCAGTCCCAACTTTATTAGGAACAAAGCTACAATAATCTTTAATACTAAACATACTATCTCTAATCCTGTTTGGCCTCTTAAGGTTACAAAAGTTCTCGAGTCCTTTGTAGACATTATGCAGTTGCGCCGTCTCTGGGTCTGCGAAGCTGCTCTCTCTCGCTCTGTTTGGCTTGTCATGCTGGTCTCCTCGGAAAGCCTCCAGACGATTACAAGAGAGAGGTCTGTTTTTATACATTTTAGATGGTTTTCTGGAACTTTCTGTAGTTCTGGCCAATCAAGGACATACACTTAATAGTTTGAAACAGAGTTAATCATTTGGAAGGCATGTTACTGTTAGTTTCTTTGTCTAGCAGGATCCAGAGCCTTTCTGTTTGAGCCCTCCTTTATTTGGGGGTATGTCTGTCCAGGATAACTGTTGTCTTTTACATTAAGCTGATATCATTAGCACCTGGCTGCTGAGTTTGCACTGAGTCTACTGTGTGGATTTTATGATTTCAATGTTTTACTTGGCCAGTGCACCAGCATCCCTTGCTGTTTGGCCAAGTTAGTAATCTACCTGTGTTTTCGCAGCCCAGAGGCTTCTACACGACCAGTATAAGTTATCTTTGCAAAACATAAACAAGATATTAATGGATCATTTAGCCTGCCTCCAACAAACAACCTCTCGTCTTCCTGAGGTCTGTAAATTGTATTCCTGTCTTTTTTTTTCCTCTTTGAAAACCTGATGAATGCACCTGTGCCTGTTTCTTTTTTTAAAATCAATGTTCACAAACCAAGTTTCGGTCTGAGGACCTCACCAGGTTGCCCAAGGCAAAACCTGTCCAGACACATTGGAATAAAGACAACAAAACAAATTTCTAATTGTCAATCAACATTTATTTTGGAGGAAAATAACTTAAAAGCCTAGCCTTTCTTTGAAAAATGTGTGAATTTTAAACTTTAAACAATTTAATCTATAACCATGAAATAAATTGCTTCCTCAAAAAATGTTTTCACAATTTTCCACAAAATTGTGAAAAATTACAACATGTGGCAGTGCCAATTTAAAATAAAGTCAGTGTATGGACTATCTGCTCTGAAGTGTTGGGATACTGCCATTAACTGAAGATTGACTGGAACCAAGGGGAATTTCTGCTACTCAGTAGACAAGTGAAGGTGTTTATCTACACAGCTTAAAGCTATCAAAGCTGCATTATAGTATCTGGGAATAATATAAAAGTACTGGTACAACCGAAATAATCAGTTACACAGCAATATCCAGTTGTTGGGCAACCAGAAGATTAGTGCAGAATAATAAATCTCTTTTTTTGCTTTTCACTGTCTCTTCTGTCTAGTGTTCCCCAAACATCTTGCCCCTATTCTTCCCTCCCTTCTAATCCACTTCATTACAATGGTGTTGTATTGAGGTATTCTTGCACATCAGGATCTGCATCAATTTACCCTCACTGCAATGTTATTGCCAACCTTTCCTGAAGATTTTTTTTTTTGTTACCTGCTTTATTCAGCAGTTGACAGATTTCTTAATTACACTAATCGTTTGATTCTGTTGAGAGTGACAAATTTGTTATTAAGAATGGTGAAATTTTCTTTCTCCGAAGCTTTTGGTCGTCTGTGACATACACTTTGTCATGTCCCAGCTGGTGACTTATTTGTACAATTGTTTCAGTATTGTTTTGCATTTGATTGGTGTGGATGCTAAGTCATCCAGTCACATTTCCATCTCTTCTGTCCACTGAACTCGTCAACCTTCTAAAATATGGTGTCTTTCTGAGGACAAGGCAAGTTCGAGCAATCTGCATGAACCCATGGCATCCCTCCAGGTCATATGCCACATAAGTATAACAATGGTTATCATTGTCCTGGATGAAACACAAGTGTGACACAGAAGACAGAGCATCTAGGCCAGTGCTGTTCTGTTCCCGTACACACCCAATTTACTTGACTGCTGTGTAAACATCAAGTAGGACCAGCATAGCGCATGTGTGTAATTTGTGAAACATGTACATTCTGTAACAGGCTTAGCACACAGTATAATACACTATCATTCAGTCTAGGTATATTTCATGTACATTTTGACCAACTTTTGTGTGATAGTCTACAATTGCTTATTAACATTACATCATTGAGCTCCCAGTGTTTTGTGGATTGCCTTGGAGTATAAAAATAAGAAAGTCTTACTATAAATATAGAAGTCAGTCCACACCTAGAATACTGTGAACAAACTTGGTCCCTTTATTGAAGGAAAGATAGACTGGAATTGGAGGCAGTTCAGAGATGGTTCACGATATTGATCCTGCATGAGGAGGGAGAGATTGAGTACGTTGGGCTTGTACTAGTTGGAATTTGGAAAAAAGTGGCGACTTCATCGAAATATGTAAGGAGACCTGACATGGAATTCTTTACCATGAAGTTTTGAAGAGGCTGGTCCATTCACTATATTTACAGCTGAGAGACACGGTTTTTTAATCAATAAGGGAATCGATAAGTGTGGGATAAAAGTAAGACAGTGGAGTTGAGGATCACCAAATGAGCCATAATCTTGTTTAGTAGTGTAGCAGATTTGATGGGCCAAATGACCTACTTCTGCATTTAGAGCTTATGGGGTGGTACTGAGCCCGTATGTGCTGGGAATGTCCCATGCACCGATTGACAACAGCACCATCAGATCTCTGGTGAATCAGTCACGGTAACCACTACTAATGACCCCTGCCAAAACACAGTCCCAATGGATTTCAGGTGAGGATAGGATTCATTACTGCGATAATGCTGTCTGGTTGATTATTGAAAATTGCTGTTTAAGCTCAGATACTTTAATCAAAACAACCTGTTGATCCAAAATGCACTGACTGAGCAATTTTGTCAGTAAACCAGTTTTAAAAACACAATTAACATCACTTTCTTTCCTAACACACACTTTGTTGCATGGAGCTGGGAAAAAATTGTGGGCTTAATTTCCATCCTAAACTTCAACCAAATCTGTGAATTTTGTCACTGGCTACACTAGATATGAATTTAATTATTTAAGGTATAAATTAAAATATTCAAACATACTTGTCAGCAATCCATCTCCTTCCATTCTGTAACATTGTCTTACCTACGCTTACTTCAGCTCAATCTTCTGCAATTCCATTAATGTCTGTGCAATGCATATTCTGAACTCTTCTGCATCCCTGATTTTAATCGCTTCATCATTGAGGCCGTGTCTTTTAGTTGCCAAGGCTGTAAGCTAATTAAGCTTAATGTATTCCCTCCCTACCCCACTTAAAGCCTTCTTTAAAATCCTCCCAGCTCCATATACACCTTTGCTGCGTAATTTTCTTTGACTAACAAAAATCGATCATGCTCCGTTTCAAAATTAACAATTTGCTATTTGCAGAAGTGTTCCAAACTTTACTGCCTTCTGCATGAAGAAATGTTTTCCAATTTGAGATCGCATCCTCTGGTGCTAGACTTCCCAAGTAGAGGAAATTGTTTCTCCCAGTCAGACCTATCTGATATGTTTAATAATCAAACGTTTTGATCAAATCTTCCCTTAACCTTCTAAGTTCCAGGGGATACAACACTATTACATTTAACCTCTCCTAGCTGAACCCTCAGTCCTAATATCTTTCTAGTAAATGTACACTGCAGTCCCTTTGAGGCCAGGATATCCTTCCTGAGATGTGGAGCGCAAAATTGCTCTGTTTTCCAGGTATGATCAGACCAGGGCTTTGTGCAACTCCCATGTGATTTCTACTTCTTTGTATTCTGTTGCCCTCTTAATAAACACTAGTATTCCATTAGCTTTCTTTTTTGTTGTTTTCTGTACTGGCTTGTGATGTTTTTATTATGTGTACCTTGACATTGACGTCTCTTTGACCTTAACTGTTTCTAGCTTTCCACCATTTAGAAAACATCCTGTTTCATCCCTTTTTTAGGTCCAAATTGAAAAACGACACATTGAAATCAATCTACCACAGCTTTGCTTACTCAATTAATTTTTTTATAATTATGCACTTACAATATCACCTAACTTTATATCATTGAATACAAAATATCCTATTACACTTTGTATTAAATTTCATTTACCACTCGCCAATCTATTCAACCAACCTGTTTATGGTTCATAATACTTGAGTTTTATCATCCATACCTTTTGAAATGTAAATTTAAATACATGTAAATATTGGAGATCAAGAAATGATTCAGCCCCCACTATCCACCTTCCCCAGGTTCGAAAATGAACCATTCGCCACTACTCTTTCCTGTCGCTTTGCCTTTTTTGTATCTTTGCTGCCATTGTTCCTTCAACTTTGCTATTCAGCCTATTTTTTGAAAGTCATTTTGCTATTTATTGCCAATTTATGTATAGCTGTGCTTTAGATCCTTGATTGGCTTAATGTATTCCCTCCCTACCCCACTTAAAGCCTTCTTTAAAATCCTCCCAGCTCCATATACACCTTTGCTGCTTAATTTTCTTTGACTAACAAATCCTGTGCCCAATAGCTTAAGGGGGCAGGTTACTGCTGAACTTTTCACATACTATGCCACTGTTTCAGTGAGCATGGGTCACTTTACCCCAAATAACATCTTGTTTGGTTTGCCACCAGGAATCAGTGTTGTTCTTTTCTTTGTAGATATAACTATCTCTTGCCCAGGTAAAATTCTGTTTCATTTTGGCAATAAACACTTTCAGTCTTGAGTGGGGTAATGAGCCTTCTCTGGTTTCAAAGGCCTGATTTATAGCCTATCAACACGACTTTGCACCACAATCTTCCAGGCATTGCAAGAGCTCTTCGAGCAGCTGGATTGCCTGGCCTAATAGTCAGCCCGTTTTGAAGTTCCATATGCACATCGGCCACATTTTTATCATCAGAGCCCTCTTATCTCATTGGAAAACTCAATCAAATTAGTCAGTCATGATTTATCGTTAACAATTCTCTTCTGGCTTACTTTGATCCATATTTGTCCAAGTGACTATTAATTTTGACCTTTATTAGTATTTGTAAATGCTTTGCCACCACCAGGGTTAAACTGGCTGTCATTGCTGGGTTTATCCTAACTTCTTTCTTGAATGAGGGCATAACATTTGCAGTGTTACAGTCATCTGACACCATCCTTCTAAAAGAGGTCCTGGTGACTTATCTAATGTATTTTTTTTTTAATTTTGACAGCTTGGGTGCAAGAACTGCGGCCATGCATATTGTTCATCATGTCTCAGCTACAGCACCTTGGTCCCTCGCTGTGGGAATACACAGCAAAAAGTCTGCAGGCAGTGCTATGGAAACCTCACAAGGTACTCACAAGCTACTAAGCATCATAGGCATGTGGTATCATGAGCCACATCTATCCATGACAATATGAAACCTGAACAATCATGGAAATTAATAAACTATTCTCATTCATGGTGACACCAGAGCAGAACCTAGTGGTGTCAGAGCAGAGGACTGAGATAGAAGGAGAACTGAGAAATAAATTATGTAAATATCTGAAGAGTCATTCGGACTTGAAACAATAACTCTGTTCTCTCTCCACAGATGCTGCCAGACCCACTGAGTTCTCCAGCACTCTGTGTTTGTTTCAGATTTCCAGCATTCCCAGTATTTTGCATTTATCTATGTTGGTGAGCTAGAAAGTAAAGTTGAGCTAATAATCTCCTTTCTCTTTCCTGTAAGCACAGACAAAATAGAGCAAGAAATGAAATCATTGGCTTTAGCTTGTCAGGATTAAACGTGCAATTTCACAAGGTTGTAGACATGCTCACCGAGCCAGTGGTTTTGGTTGCAGACGTTTCGTCACCCTGCCAGGTAACATCGTCAGTGCGCCTCTTGTGAAGCTTCGGTGTTGTGTCCCACTTCTTATTTATGTGCCTTGGTTTGCTGGGGTGGTTGGTATTAATTCCAGTTTTGTTTTTCAGTGGTTTATACATAGGGTCTAACTCAATGTGTTTGTTGATGGAATTTACCAGGCCTCCAGGAATTCCCTTGCGTGTCTCTGTTTGGCATGTGCGGTTATCGATGTGTTGCCCGAGTTAAATTCGTGTCCTTTGTTGTCCCTGTGTAGTGAGACAAGTGAGAATTGGTCGTATCTCTTGGTGACTAGTTGGTGCTCATGTATCCATATAGTCAATTTTCTTCCGGTTTGGCCTATGTAGTGTTTCTCGCAGTCCTTGCGTGGTATTTTGTACGTTACCCCAGTTTTGCCGGTTTTGAGTATGGGATCCTTTACGTTCGTCAGTAGCTATCATAGGGTGGTTGTCAGTTTGTGGGCTACTCTGATACCTAGGGGTCCGAGTAATCTTGTGGTCATCTCTGAAATGTCCTTGTAGGGTGATTAGTGACTTTGGTCGTGTTGTGTCTTCCTGTTGTGGTCTGTCTCAGAGGTAATGGTGGATTGTGCTTTTCGGGTATCCATTTCTTTTGAAGACTCTGTATCGCTGCTCCTGTTTTGCTTTGCATAGTTCCGGGTTGCTGCAATGTGTTGTGCCTCATTTAAATAGTGCCCGGATGCAGCTCCATTTGTGGATGTTGGGGTGGTTGCTGGTGTAATTGAGTATTTAGTCCATATGTGTGGTCTTTCTATATACAGTAGTCTGGAGTTCCCTGTTGTTTTTGCATTCTACCGTTATGTACAGGAAGGGTAGTGGATTGTTGTTCTCCTTTCGTGAATTTTATCCCAGTAAGGATGTTGTTTATATGTTGGTGGGTTTCTTTCAGTTTAGTGCATTTAAAAATCACAAGGGTGTCATCTACATATCGAACCCAAAGGTTGGGTGGTGAGTGCTGTCTGTTCTGAACTTTGCATTACTACTTCTGCAATTAGTCCTGATATTGATGATCCCTTTGATGTTCCATTGATTTGTTTTGTATATGCTGTCGTTGAAGGTGAAGTGGGTTGTGAGGCACTGATCAAGTAATTTCATGGTGGTGTCCTCCTTGATGTTGGTGTCCTCCTTGATGTTGGTGTCCTCC